ACTATGAGTAACATTTTGGCACAACATCTGCTTTCATAAGTAGGGTTTCACCACAATACACATTTTTGTCTAGGATTCATTGGAGTTCCTGGTTTGCAATGGTATGCTTTTGCAAACTCTTTAAAGTTGGTGAGAGGCACATTGACACTGTAAAAATATTTATATGTAATTGAAAATATTTATTAATAGAATTAAAAAAATGATTTTTTTAGATTATGAATGCTAAATAGAGAGAGAGAATAATCAACCCAAAAATTTTACTGTACTTTAATTTATTTATACCCTTATTCTCGTTAGGCAGTTGAGCAATGCAAAGAATGATACTTCTCAGTAGGAATGAATAATAATAATAATAATTATATAGAAATGAAAAAATTAAAGATGAGATTATAGATTTTTTAAAAAACTTAAGCATTCCTACAATGAAGATAACAACCTGCTTTTTATTTGTATCAATATTTAAATTCGTAAAAAAAGTAATAACTGCACTGATACTTTTTGTCATACATTTTTACTATACATTCATTTCACTTTTACTCCCTTTTAGAAATGGGAGCTTCGTAAATGGGACAGTAGATAACATTTTACTATTTTGTACTTGCACATGTTGAAGCCCCTGTTGTTTGAGGGCCCTATATCCTTGATATGCCGTATCTACGCTACTATCGTGTAATATAAGTTATATTAAACTATTTAATTAATCTTTTGAGAGGTAATTCGTGTTATATCCTAATTTAACATTCTTAATTTTAAGAAATAAGCTTAAAAGGACTGAAAAATTAAATGGATTGTTTAAAATATTTCATAAATATTTAGTATAACTATATAATTAAAAAATATCTTCAGAAAGTCTGTTTTAATTTTTTACAATCAATTGGAACTTTTAATAAATTGATATTTTTAAAAAATATTAAGACTTGTGAAAGTACCCTGAAGTTTTAATTATTTCATATACAAAAACTAAGCACGATTCACAAATAATAGATCAACTTTTCTTTAAAAAAATATAATCGAAACTTTTCAATGGTATGTTGCATAGCTCAAAAACATGAAAAGTGGATAATTTTATGTAATGTCATTTTTAACAATTGTATTAATAAGAAATGGATAGTGAGACCTTTTAAATAACATTAGAATTAACAAAAAAATTATAAGTAACGTATAGAGAATACATTTCTTAATACCGCTAAAATGAAATAGACGAAGAGATTTATCATTAAAATTAAGTAGATTATTGTTGTTTATTTTGAAAATTAAAACTAAAAAAAATCTTCGCTTGTAAATGTGTAAAAGGAAGAGTTCAAAACTATTTATTTTTTCAATAAGTGAAAACTGAAAAATTAAATTTTGTCTAACGAACAGACCTTGCATGGGGAAAAGTGATGGGGAAAAAATGAATCCCGCCTTGCCGAGTCGAACCAGCGACCTTATGTGGATTTCTACTACTTCGCAGCTACAGTCCACCGCTCTGCCAACTGAGCTATCGACGGACATGTAACGGAAGTTTAGGTAGGAATAAAACATATGCTGTTAAACAGGGCCATAGGAGAAGTCTCGAGAATTTATTTTCGTGTTTTTTGTGTTGTTAATACAAATAAAAGAGCTTTGCTATGTTTCATTACTTTTTCTAAAAGCAAATTTTTCTTAGATTTTTTTTTTCTTTTCTTATTTGAAACCTTCTGTACCAATATGAGGAAATTATTTCAAAAGCCTACATGTATATTTGTCAATTTTTTTTTTATTTCTTATTTTCGAAAGATATCATATCGTTTATACAAAAATAAAACAGAAATTCTTTTTACTTATATTTTTACGTGAAATAATAATAAAAAATCTCTTAATCATTCTGAAATTTTTTGACAAATATATCCTGTCACAATTTATCTTTTTGAATTTTGACTTAATTTTTTAAAAAAATAGAAGTAGTAATGTTTATAAAATAATGCATAATATGTAGAAAATTAATTCATAATCTGAAGTTTCTGAAATCTCTTAAACGATGCTATTAAATTTATTATTTGTAAAGTTTTTTTAAAGATCTCTTATTTTTTAAAGTTGAGAAAATTTTAAGAACTTTAATTTTTTAAAAAAAAACTAATTTAATTTAAATTGTGGAATTTAACAACAGAATATATTTTTTTGGTTATATCGAAGATTTATTATTCCTGTTTATTTTTCAATAAATAGCCCATGCACACATTCTAAAAATGTTTTAAAAAAAAAATTCTAAAATTCACGAAAAGCCAACTCTTGCAAAAAAAAAAAAAAAAACTAAGTCCAGGAAACATAAATAAAAAAAAAGTGTGTGTGCTAGAACTACACGATAAAAAGCAAAAAACTTCAAACTCCAATTTGAATACGTATAAAAGTATATATACAAATAATAAGCATTTATGTTATATAACGGATTATATATAGTTCTCAGAATAAAACATGATATTAATATTGTCACACAAATATTTAATATCTTATGCCTGTACTCAGTTGCAAAACATACATGCATCATATATTTGTGAATGATTTATATTCTAAGAGTAAAACAAATTATTTGTACAGTTTTAGTAAAGTTATTGAAGGAATTTTAAAAGCTCCCTCGTGTATCTGAACAGTGCGACGTTAATATTCAATCACACAATACACAATCAGAAGGAATGTATCTTTGAATATCATAAATATGGCTGGATTCTGATTCTTTCGCTATGGCGTTGCCGTAAGCGCGATCTATGGAACTCATCTTCTTTACGCTGCTCACAAATGTGGCTCAAAAAAACCCAAGACAATTTACTTATATTTTATAAATGTTGAGGATTTCAAAAAAATTTTTTTAGTTCAACGATTTTAAAAGATTTTTTTTTTTTTAATGGGCGCAGTTTGGGAGTTTTCCGCATCCCTAGTACTTTCCCCCGGAAGTGGTACCCTTTTTTTTTTTTTAGCGCGGCAAAATATTGTCAGCCGCACGTTTTTTGACCCCAGTTTCCTCCCTAGTGCAGGAAACGAGCTTTGTGCACTAGATTTATTTTGTTGGGGCGTCAAGCCAAGCGACACCAAGTTTTTTGCCATATAATTTTACAACGGGGCCCTGTCGTTTCTGCATCAAAAAACCAGCGGGCTGAGATCAACCCAAAACCCTTTTGCAAAAAGTTAGCAAAAAAACCAACCCCCCACCCCCGGCCGTTTTTTGGGGATTCATCTACTGTTTCACCAATTTCTTCTAATAGACTAGCAGGTTAAAAGGGGGGAAAAATTTTATTTAAAAAAACAGGCCCTGAAAATTTTTAATTCAAAACAGGCGGGCGTCAACGCCCCGAGCGCGATTGATGCGTCTGGAGCCGAGAAAACCCCTTTTAAGCGAAACCCAGCGATTTTGAAGGTTCATTTACATTCTGCCCTTCAGAAAAAACGCGCATAAAGAAAATATTCCCCAAAAAGAAAAACAAAATTTTGATAAAGCCCAATGCGAATACGTGGCAGTCCTGGAATTAATCCATGTTTATTTTGTTTGTTCTAATTACATACAACAACAAGGTGTATAAAAAAAAAATTTAAAAAATGAATTAAAACCAAGCATATTAGAAACCTAAATATAAACTAAAATATTTAAAAATTTTGTTTATTTTAAAAAATATGATTCTGTCAGTATTAAAAAAAGCTATGTTAGAATATGATAAATGATCAAAAATACTAACACCGAAAAAAAATATAAAAAGGAAGCTTTTTTTTTTAATTTTTTTCCATGACTTATCTTTCGCTACGTTAAGTCCATAGTTGTGAAAACTATTTTTGATTTTTCTGTAGCAAGAAAGGGCCCCCTTTTAAAAAAACACTTTATTTGACTCGTGGAGGGTGTCGGTGGGGAGCCTTGTACCGCAGAAACCCGCCGTACAGGGGAAAAGGGATGCACGTTTAAATACCTTTAGAGGTTAAAAATGTCCCCCCTTGGTGGTGTGGTGTGGGCAGTTCAGGTTTTAACCCCCTCATAACTCGACCGTGTTAAAAATTACGAGGTCCGTCGCCAAAAGCCCTCGAGTTGCTGAATAGGGGACGTTTATCTTCACTCACAGTTTTATTACCCGGGGAGATAAGCAAAACGGGGTTACCAGAAGGGGAATACCAATAAAAGGGAAGTCCTTGACCCCTTCCGTGGCTCAAAAGTAAGAAGTTTGAAAAGCAACTGAAAAAAATGACCAGGGGTTTTCCGTTAAAGTGGGGGGTTCGGGGAACCACCGGGGAGGCCGGGAGAAAGTTTCGCCGGCCCCTTTAAAAAAAATGTGGTACACTTGGTAATAGCCCTCAAAAAAAGGTTTTAAAAGTGAGTACCCTTTTCTTAGTGAAAAAGGGATGAAAATTTGATTCAATTCTCCACAACTTATTTATTTTAAAAGGGTTTTTTCATTTGCCGATAAAAACATTTGGCCGATCTCAAAATATAGCTGTCTTGCAGTTACAACACTGGATCCAACTATCCATAATCATATTTCAAGTAAGCAGGAACACCCATCACACACGCAATGTATAACACTAAAAGCTTGATACACCCAAACCATTTTTTAATTGTTTTGTTTTTACAGAGTTTATTATGGTTTATTAATAAATCTTTCATATTTCGGGAACTATTATTAGTTTCATTTCATTAACTTGGTACATTTTATGTGTTTCTTAGATCACAATTTTTAAAAAAAAATATTTAAATTTCCCTTATTTTGTGGATTTAAAAATTTTGAATTTACCTGTCCGTAGGTCAAAATGTTTTAAAACCGCTGATCTAGACTACCTTTTCACTGGGGAGATGCCGCATTTTCGACCCCCGAAATATCCACGACTGTTTCACCCCAAATGTTGTCGAAAATTTTTCTATGCATTAGGGAAAAAATGTAAAAAATAATTTGTCACCGATCAGTATACACCAAGTGAAAAGTATTCCATTATGATAACGATAAAAAATTAATTTCATTCAAAAAATTTTTTTTTAAAAAAAAATTTTTGTGGAAAAAAAGTTTAAAAGGAGGCGCGGGGGTTATCCCCGTACCTCTCGCATTTTAAGCGAGCGCTCTACCATCTGAGCTACGCCCCCGGACAACCCGTTATACTTATAAGCACACGACCAAAACGCTTGAAATGCATACGTAACGGGCAATTAAAGGTGCCCGAAGAGTTTTGTGTGAGTTTCAGCTTTTCGACCAAACTAAGCTACCAGAAGATGAAACTTGGCACACAGAAATTATAGACAAATTTTTTAAACTGAAGTTTTTTTTTGAAATTCACCTTAATTTTTTTTTTTAAGAGATTCTTTAGTTAACTGGCTTATGATGTCATTTTTCGTGTCACACCAAATTTCGGGAAAATTAAGTTTCAAGAGTTCTTCGGGTTTTTAATTTTTTCTATAAAATATTTATTTATGATTATATTTATCCGTTTTCTTATATTTTTGGGGGGAATTTCAGTTTTTAATAGATCATCGTAAAAAGTTTCCTTTTTTTTTATGGGTTTTGGGAACATGGAATTGTTTGAATTTGTATTGCTATGTCGATTGTTTTTTTTGTATAATTAATAGAAACTTTTTAGTTTTCCCCGCCTCGGGGATTTCTTCGGCATGGTCAAAATAAAGTGTTGTTGTATTTCAGGGAAAAATAGTTGTCCGATGGATCGGGCTTGAATCTGAAAGTTCATTACAAACACAAAAATTTTCAGGTACTTTGCACTGTGGAGAAAAATTTTTTCAAATTTAGGGGAAACTCAAACAAATATAAATTCAACAATATTTTAGCTGGGAAAAAAGCGTTTAAAACAATTGGGGGTTTTGATCTCCTACCCTCTCTGCTAAGAACCGTTCCCTTTGAGCCACACCCCCCTGCTCTGGTTTTAAAAAAAACCTCGCCTTAACACTTTAACAAGAATGTACAAAACCAGATGAATTAAAAGTGTTGCACAGGTGAGGGGGAAAGTTAAAAACGTCGGGTATAAAATGCACGGTCTGTGGCGACGGACCTCGTAATTTGAACAATGGTTACAAAAGAGTTTTATACCTGATTTAACCCTCTTTCCAAACTATCCCCCCGCCAAGGGGGAAAAACTTTGATCCCCGACAGTTTTAATGTGCATCACCCCCCAAACGGCGGGTCTTCAGTGATACTAGCCCAAACCCGGGACTCGACAACGCCGGTCATATGTTGGTGACCATACTCACTACAACCCAAAAGTCCACAAGGGGAAATATGGAATTCGGTAAAAAATACATTATCTATGTAGGAATTAAGAAATGCGTGGGGTGCTGTAATAGCCGTATGTGTTTGTTCATTGAAAGACAAGAAAAAGATTGAAATTTATTCTAGCGTCAATGTTATTCGGGAATACGAATGAGATCAGACGTACGATATTTATAGTTTAGGCGAAGAACACCCTACCAAGGTTCATTAGTATAAATTTTTTATTTTTAAATTTTTTGTTGCTAACGGGAAACATAAACCTGAACAAGTGAAAAGTAGACATTTTATAAAAAGAAAAGGAAAGAAGTTTTCACACTATCTTAGACTTCATCTAAAAAGTCGCATTACATTTAATCGTAAGACTTAGGTTTCCTAGACATTACTTTTTACACAATTTTCATTCTATACAGGATGTTACCGATTTCACATGATAAATTCAGACAGGTGATAGTAGGCAGCATGGGATGACAAATCATAATGGAACATAGGGTCGTAAGCCCCGTTTAGTAGTCGGAGTAAGCTGTAAAACAATTATGAAGGGTGTGATGTCAAATTGAATGACAAGGCGCAATAAGAGGTAAGGGATACACTTATTAGATGTAAAGCAGGTTCGTAATACGAACAATGTATCACAGCTTGACGTCAGAAATGCAACGACAAGTAACTGTCTTGTTTGAAGTTGCGATCGCGTAGTTCATAGCGCAGCCGACACCGACAGATGAAGGGTTATCCGAAGCGTTCAATCCAGTGAGCTGGCGATGTCAGTTGAAGCGACGATGATCCGTGACGTCCACTGTAGCCACCAGCGTTTCACTCAAGCGCTCCAAAGATTGAGGGCCGGAAGTGTGAAGGTCAAGTAATAGGTCCGCCGCGTCCAATCCATCTACCGAGATATGTAGCATGGAGATGGTTATGCTCCGCAATTGAAAATGTGCTAGTGTACTAACGTGCATGAACCATTCGTCCTGGTGCGCAGTGGCCGGAACTCCCTGTAGTAATTCCGGGGTGGATGTGCTATACGAAAACAAGGTATCTTGCGCCATTGAATAGGCGTTACTTTTTGGGCATCCGGACTGTAAAACAGTCCTCAATCCTATGTCTGGATAGTGTGCAATATTGGGTATGACGAAAGTGGAGTTTTTACATTCTGCTCTGAGTGGCATGACGGTGATTGGTCGATCGATGGAATCCGGGAGGTGTGGCTTTGGTTCTTCATCTGGACGAAAAAGTTGTTGGAAATTTGGCTTGGGTGAGAGCTTAGAGGCTGCTCTCTGATTGGTTGCTGGGTTAAGTGAACAGAGACTCTGACTGGCTGGCCTGGGGGCTTTTGCGCCATTGAGGCGTTTGGGCAGTATATATACACAGCATTCGTTAGGCCATCCCCCCCGGATTCTCTTTTGAGACACGCTTGGGTGTAGTCGTATTTTTTATGCACTCTGTACTCTACTTCTCAAACGTTTCTAAATCAACCTTTTCATAACTATCTGTCGTTCCTATAGCTCTTTTCAGAGCTTTAAGGATAGGGCGGCAATCAACCAGATTGATTTTCCTTTCTCCTGCTGACTACTTGGATTCTTGACTATGGACATGACTACTGACCAACCCAATGTAATGGAACTTTCGCTGCCTTCCTCCACAGACTCGACCCGGCCTGGAACTCCCACAGTTACCAACTGTGAACGTCTTTATGATATCACTACGGACATTAAAAAATTTGGAATTGTCATCGAAACATTCAAACAACGATCAGGGCCCTCCACCTCAATGGAATCAATGACGACAATGATCCCACACTCATGGACCAATCCAGGAGACTCCAGGAATACCAAAGACTCCAGCATCTGGCGGTAAGTGAGTTTAGATCTCAACCTCCTTGTGATACCCCTGGCTGTACCATACACCATACCCCTAGTAATTCTCCCACTAAAAATAAAAAATCAGGAAACCTTAAAACCCCTGCAAATTAAATCGTAAGTGATAACGAGGACGGATTTACTTCTCAAATAGGCAGAGTTAGCAAAAAATAGAAGGACTTCCCTCATTGAACTTTAACTTTAAAATCGACCTAACAAATTTCCTCAAAACCTTTAAATTGACCTGTGTAAAGCAGGACCCCTCCTCTAGCTCTAATGGTGCCACACGCACACTAACTCCAACCAGCGCAACAGTACACAAACTAATAATCAGGCCGACAATCAACACCACCAAAAATATCTACCCCCACCAGTTTTCTTAAAATAACCGATAACTACCGCACTCAAATTAAGACACTCAATGACCGACTCCTGCACTCCGCAGCAAAATGACTGGGGAGTACTTAAACTCACACCGATACTGACGATCAGCACCATGAATCAACAAACATACTGAGGAATTAAAATACGAGTTTTTCTCAATCACCCTAAAAAGACAGGCCCATTAAAGTTGTCATTAAAGGACTACCTCATGACACCAACCCGACAATATTCATATCATAGCGACTTTAATAGATTTAGGATTTACAGTTATCAAAGTCACCCAACTCATAGGACGCATCACTAAACAAAAATTACCAATTTTTCAAGTAACACTCCCCCGTAACATACCTAACGCCAAAATTTTTGATCTAGACAAATTAAGCTATATTAGTATACACGTTGAAGGTTATGAAAACAAAGGAGTAACACAGTGTTACTCCTGCAACAAATTCAATCACACTGCCGAAAACAATCAAACTCGTGAATGTCCCATCAAATATGTTGAGCAGGCATACTGCATCAACTGCCAAGTTCTCAAATATATGGCCTATGCCAAATGCCCAATAAAATTCTAAGCCACGTAAAGGAAACCCCAATTAACAACACCAAAACACATATTCTTCAGTAATTACTGGCATAGTCCGACCTAATGTTTCTACGCCCAAAGCTGCCACACAACAGTGCACCTAGCAACACTTCTAATTCAATCAACAGACAACAGATGGCAACCACTCTTACAAAGGAAATCCTGCTACCAAAAACACCAACTCAGGCCAGCCGCGTTCTCGCTCCTCCTCGCAACCAGTTAATGCAAAATAATAATCCTAACTTTAGTTCTTATATTAATCAGCCTGTAGGCATCTAAGCCCCCCAACTTTAGCTCAACAAATTAATACCCCAAACTTTAGTGAAAAATTTCAAACTAACAATAGTAAAAAAATCCAAGCAAGCTAAAAAAAACGCGAATTACACGCCCTAGTAGAGGCACATGACGATGACAGACACTCAATGGGAGTGGCCTGAGTTTGTGTTCATGGAACGTGCAAAACGGTATTAAAAGCAAAATTATGAATTTAAATTGTTTGTAGAGAAGCACAGTCCCGATATTCTTCTTAATCCAGGAAAACACATTCTAGACCCAATCAATATCGCTTCAATATCACCACCATAGCCAGTTATAGAAACGACTGTATCAATGGACGGACCTGCATCCGGTGGAACGCTTATTTTAATTAAAAATACTATTCCTCACTTCACACCTCCCCCACCACAGCTTCAACACATTGAAGCCACCATTATCACACTAGATCCACCTAACACCAACCCCATCACCATCACTTCAATTTATGTACCCCCACACTCAGATAAGCAAAACTTCACACAAGATTCCTATTAAAATATTTTTCAGATCAATAATTGTGTGATTTTTATGATTTTAACGCCACACACACAATGCGTACTGTTCATAATCCCCTACTCGTGGTATATGACTCAATAATTATAAATTGACACACCTCCAATATTGGTTGAAATTGCTTTCCCGGAATACTCCCACTAGATATGTGGCTGGATCGGTTAACACGCTCGACATTGCACTCATAAATAACTTTAACTACCCTTACACCATGACT